CTGTATTCAGCTGCTCTGCAGTTTTTAACCAGCTGTAAAAAATAATGTTTCTACCTGAAGTGGATGTTTTAGTGTGAATTCTCCTTCCTGCTCCTGCATGTGATGCATCTTGTACAACTGAGCTTGAACCACACTCTTTGTTAATTAGTGGAAAGTTTGCCCTCGATGAAGCGACAGAAGACTGTGATGAAGCCACTGCCACCCCTCACATTCCTATCAGCCGAATCCAGGTCTTACCACCGTGCACCACACTCTGCTTCGTGCCTCTTGACCTCCTTTCAGCACAAAGACCCCAAAGGTGAATTAAAGCAAAGTATTTCAGTCCCAGAATTGTTTCAAGACTTTTTTCGAGTGGTCACACGGAGCGAAATCAAAGTGAGGCTGACAATTCCCTGATGTGACAATGGGGTCATTGCTGCAATTTGGATTAGATACAATAACCATTTTTCTCCACGGGTTTCCAACTCCCCCTCAACCCTTCATCCCTCAACCATTACCATCAAGTACAGAGTCTCACTCGAGGAAATTCTACCATTTGTCAAAAGGGGCTTTCGTCTTCCTTTATCTGCTCACCCATCTATTATGTCAAATGCTGTGCTGAGCCGATGGAGGTCTGGCTCCAGAGCTGGAGCTGAAGGGGAGATTAGCACACCCACACTTCCTGTCACTCTTGACCTCTGGCCATCAGGGCCGCCGCACACGTGAGAGCACGGAACTGGCACAGGATAGAAAGAGAGGACGGAACAGGCCAAAGTCAAATCCCCTCAGGTGCTGAGGAATGTCTGCGCTCTGTACAGCGGCAGGAATACAAACCGTATGTGCTGAGGCCACGGTGACAGAGAGCCGGACAGCAATCGATGACTTTTGATGAAAAACAATTTGAGCAAAGAACAAAATGGCAGGAGTTTGATGTGCACTCATACCTTCACAGCATCTGGATAAGTGCGTCAGAGTCGTTGACATGAGAAGGTCTCGTCACAGCTAATCAAAAAGAAACTATTTCTACAGTCAAACAGATAAGACGTGTTACCTGGTTCTGCTTTGACATGGCTGTTGTGCATGTGATGACTCAGACATGTAACTTTCCACACGTAAACTACTACGTTTTACTTTTAGATGCATCACCGTCACTTTGTTTATGCTGTTGGAGTTCTGAGCGCCGGAAACGGACAAGTGTAGAAACGTTGGTGACGATGATGCAGTCGACCAGATTCACTTCCATTTGTCTTTATCAGATGTGACTCGACTTCCAGTGGTGATTACAAGATGTTGCAGAATCCCTCGTCCGCCTTTACGCGAATGTTGTTCGTCATTTGCAGAGTTTTTCGTAGACACTCTGCTTCGTCTTACTCCAACATGTTCAGGTGTGTTCGTATGGATGGATATTATTTCTGACGTGGAGCTGAAATACTTATTATTAGTTTAAAATGCTCTTTTTAAATGAAAATGTTTTGGATGGAGCCACAGAGAGATAAAGTGCAGGTGCTGCATAACAAGTGTATTTCTCTGATGACCGTCTGTGTAACTCTAATGTGAATGTCAGTTGTGAGTCAGGATCTGGTTTAAACTTTTACTTAGCAAAAGCTGTGTCACCTGCCGCTGGTTATCTCCTCAGTACCTCCCTGCTGTCAAAGCCATTTAATATTTAAAACTGGATTATTTGGCTTGTGTCATGTGTCGTTTGGCGTTAACTCAATTAAAATTTAAAAAGGAGGAAGAAAGAGAAAAAAGGTTTTTTAGGTCATTTCCAATGGAGCGAAGAAAAGATAAATACATGTTTACTGTGGATCGGAAAATGGTAAATCTCAGGGAGGTCAGTTTTCTGCTGTGCACTTTGTCTACGACTCGATGCACCAATTAATAAAATGTGGAGACACCTATGGGATAAAATTCATTATCACCAAATGGGTTGTCTGGAAGCACAGAAGTTGCCAGAGTCTGATGTATGAGACAGTCCTGTGAAAACAAACGAGTCCACGGGTCATCTGTGAAAGCAGCTTATTACAACCTGTGTTTTATGGTGAGGAGCGGCTGCAGTTATGACGACGCAAAACCAAGGAGGAGGGTCAGTATGAGGAGCGCCAAGATGTGGATACACCTGAACATGTTCTTTTCATTTAACAATGACTGTCCAACACTGTTTTTTGTTGTTTGGATCCATGATGATGGAGGCCCGCTAATCCATAAGGACGTAGTTATTTTAGGAGACAAAGCCAAGACCTGTTGTTATTGTAAGATCAGGAAGTTCAGATTCACCTTCTGCCAGTCGAGCTGGAGAGATGAGCTATATCAGAAGATAAAGCAATATTTCAAATTTGAATGAGAAATAATAGAATATAATTGGACATTATTGTTTTGCGGGCTTCCTTGAGAGAAATTCTCCGTCTTAAAGCTAATATCATATCAAGTTGTTGAGCCCTGGATGTAGACGGTTGTTTTCCGCTCTTGGTTCGTTTCACTTTTTGGGAAGTTATGTTGATTTAAAGGGTGAAAAACGTGTTCTTTGCCTGAATTCCACCAAATCCATGTTTATGTATGTGTGTGTTGAAACAGAGTAGCTGGAGGAGTGAATCACAGGGAGCAGTGGAGGCTTTGAGCTTTACCACACAAACATATTTCCCCCTTTTTATTTGCACGTTTCATTTTTTTCTCACAAATTCTGACAGGGACATTTACAGTTGGCAGCCGATGCGAAATTCACACCTAGCTTCTGCTTTTGTTTACTATGCCCAGTGCTGCGTTCACCAACTCGCAGTCGTGTCTGTAACAATGCGTCGCCTTAACTTCATGTGTTTGTCTCTTGCACTTGAAGATTTCTTGGATTGCGATGAGGTGAAATTTAAAAAATAAGAAAACAAAGAAAACAACATATGAAATTGAAACCAGCTAACACATGCAGCGTATGGTTTCAGACAGAGCGTGGTCATTTCATCGGGATAAAATGAAATCTGTGAAGTTTTCTTACTCGTCACAATTTTAACTGGAGCCGCCAATAATTGCACAGCCCTGTTAAAACCAATGTGACCAAAAAAAATTGGATTTCTTGACATAAACTACTCTGTTTTTCTGCTGAATTGCGAGTGAAGTGCCATCACATTAATAGTGACTCATGTTCTGCAGTAATTTGCATGTACCTGCTGATGGATCACTGGCCAAATGGGTGAAACCAACTGTTTTTGTGAACCCCATACCCTTTGCTGGGTAATTTCCCACTGGCACAGAACATCTCATAATTAAAATTAAATGGGCTGATTTCGCTGCGAGTGTCACTGCGCTGTTTGTTCCATCCGGCCCAGTGAAACAAGCTTGTATGGATACTATCAGGCTTCAGGTATTGTCATCACACATGCACTGCTTGTAATTCTATGTAAGTAAGTCCATTTCTGATGTAGTGAATGCCCCAACTCTCAGTGACCCAATGACATGTCATGTTATCAAGTTTTAAATTAACCCTGCCTCCTAGAAGTTGTGTTTATATACAAATTCAAGTGTTGCAGCAAATATGTTTTGTAAAAAATGGGATAAATGATTGATTTTGATATCAATATAATTAGTTTACATACTTGAAAAGACGCAAAACATTTCAGTAAAAAGAGCCAATGTATTTATTTTGCAGTGAAAAATACTAAAATAAAAGTGTGATTTTACTTGATAAGGTTATTTTTAGATGCTGATCTAATCCCTAATCACAAACCTGGACTCGGGGTGTGAACCCTAACCCAAGTAGAGACATACCTCCACAGATGTTACAAGGAGCTGCAGGAGGCTCATAGAATCAACCAGCAGAGGTTTGCTGTGGAGCTGCAGGCTGAGAGGAGCAAGAATGAGGCTCTCATACATGAACTACAGAAATTGAGAGCTTCAAACAATGAGATCAGTGAAAGGTATGAAGCTGACGACCTCCTAGCCAAGCAGCAGATCACCCACATGAGGGCTGAGCTTGAGGAAGCATTAAGGTCTCAGATGGACACCTTCCAGGCTGAGAAGAACCTCATCCGTACACGGATCATGGAGGAGATGAAATGTCTCCGCAAAAATGCTGCAGAGGAGAAAATGCTTCTGCAGAAAGAAGTGGAGGAGCTGACTTTTCAACTCTCACTGGAGGAGAGAGAGGATGTCAAGCATCAGGAKTGGCAGAAGGAAAAGGAGGAGGAGAAGCAAGAGGAGAAAGAGGGGGAGGAAGAGCAGGAGAAGCAGAAGAAGCAGGAGGAGTCCC